TGTCATTTTCCTTTATATACCTTCTATATAACTAATGATCTGACTTTAGGCTCCACCCTAGCAAACAACCCAAATATTTAGGAGGAACCACTAGTGGAACACCACCAGTGACCAAGAGGGATGCCACAAAAACATTGAAAAAGGTATTTGTGGAACCCCCAAAACCAAAAAGTACAATACCATGTTTGTTGTTTGAGTGGTAAACATAAAATTTGGTAGACTGGAATTCTCCCTTGAATAAGTTATGAGTAGAAATGAATTGTTGGAGCTCGGTCCACTAAGATGAACAAAGGATGGCTTTTTCCTATGTCTATAAATATTTCCAAGTGGGATGGTAAGAAAGGGCCTTTAATGCCACATATTTTGTCTATAAAAACCTGAGTGCTAGTCTACTTTGTATCCCTTAAGTCTCTAGTAATCCCCTCAAATGAGCCAAATATTAATGAAGCTGAAGACAGATAGATGCTAATCCTCTAGCACATCCTAGAATGCTATGGATTCCTACCTAAGGCCCAAGGAAATTGCCCCTATTAAACTAGCTAGAGTGTGTGGATCTGAAAGCCATTGGATCTTCCCAAAATCCCTCCTCTATTTCCTCTTGTTTGAGTTGCAACTCTAAAAGTTTAACTTGGCCCTTTGCATACACATTTCTTCAGCAAGTCTGGATATTATACACATTTCAAAACCATGATTGTCATTGAGAGAGAGGAGCTTGATATTGTTTTTTGTGTATATATTAACTGGGTAGTTGCAACAACATTGATCTTGTAGTAGCAAGAGTTAGAATTGGTTAAAATGAGTTAGCTAAAGAAGAAATCTATGAGGAGATTGTGTCTGTAGAAGATATTAATCATTCATTCCTAATGGATGCATCAATATGGGAAGATAGAGTTTTATGATCACTACTAAAGGTATATTCACTCTTTGATCAAGGACATGTCTTTGAGGCAACACAAATAGGGATTTTTCAAGCTTTCGAATCCATGGTAGGGGTTTTAGTGTTATAGTGGACCAGTCAAGTGAGAAATTTAGAAATATCACTTACATTTAAACCTTTAAACAAGCTCTTACAAGGACTCGGCTTACTTACAGTCTATCCTTTTTATGTTTGCTTCTATAATAGTGTGAAGACACCAGAAACATATTTATAAGATATTGATTATCATTGCTATTGGGGGTAAGGATCAAGAACATCATTAATAGATTCATAAAAATGTTTAACCATATGTTTTATATATGTTTTTCCTATAGTGGCATTGGAGACAAGGTGCAAGTTGATTACATGCTTAAAATCTAAGTAAGAGTTGGAAGCATATACTGGGAAGATTTGAGGCATTAAAGAGGTGAAGTTTCATCGCTTGAAGAAATTTAAAAGTTAACTATATGGGAACAATATCAAGAATTTTTTATCCAAGCCAAAGCTTCAAATTGCCACTATAATGCCCAAGCTGTCTTCAAAACATTACATGCTGTCAAAACCACATGAAAGCATATATATGGATGAGAATGATTTACATTATATGGTATGTCTAGATTGTGGCTTCAATTATTTTGCACATCCAAAAAGTTTTTAAGGGGATTGTTGAAATCTAATATTGTTCTTGCATTAGGCTAGTTTCAACTATGCACAAAGTAAACATAAAAATAGGGCTTTAACCATGAGAATACTAAATTCAAGCTCAAATGTAAGTAATAAGGCAAACATAGTTTGATATGTTTCAATAGAAAGTAGTTATAGGGAGAGGTGCATTGTTTAAGTATTTTTGCAGGAGTTAAAGCTTCTCTTCAAAGAAATGTACAAATCAAATATAATTTTCTAGGAAGTTTTGAGTATGATGAGCAGCTATAAACTATGTTTAATCAAGAAGTTATTTATGTGGTTTATGCATCCAATCATCTCACACAGTGCAAGCTTCTTAAGATGTCAAATGGTAGTAAAATTGGATGTAGAACTGATAGATAACTAGTGTTGGTGGAGCCATAAGTTCAAATAATTTGGAAGGATTGGGAGAATAGTGTTTATAAAAGTTTGATAGTTTAGAAGTCCAAAAAAGTATAATAAGATATAGGGATTTAAGGAAAGTTATTGCTATCAAAGTTCAGGTTTAGATACATATTACTAGGAATGAAAAGTATATAGTTTCTGTCTACAATAGGATCAAAGCTTAAGCATAGTGCCTAGACTTACTATTATTTAAAATGTCTTTTTAACCTATTTTGACACATATATCTTTTGATTTATCCATACTACACTCTATTATTGAAATCTTTAGTTTCTTTAGTACTATATATCTTTACTCTAATATTGTTGTTGCTCATTCTTATTCCATCACTAAGCCCATTTGTTCCTTTTAGACCCTCTTTCAAAAACAATATTGAAGCATTAAGTAATTTTTTCCCAATATTTGCATCTACTTAACATAATTCTTAGTTATTTTTTTAAAACCATTATTGATACGTATTCAGTAAAAAATAATTATTATTTACCCATAATAAACTGAAATGTTTGGATAGTGATGGTTGTATAAATCATCACATTTGAACTAGTGTTGTAAATAATCATATTAGTCTAAATAAGATTCTTTACTAAGGGTAAAATTTAGTGCAAAGCCTCATTTGGGTTAAATACATTTTCAGAAAAATATTTTTTGGTTTGCTTAAGCAAACATGTAGGGAGACTAGGATAGTAGTGGATATACCTAGAATATTCTTGAATATTCTAGGATAGTCTACAATCTAACAGTTGTTATTCATTTAGATTAATATTGTATTTATAATTTATAAACATGTTTATAATTTATAAACTTTTGTAAACCCTTTCTAGTATATTCTTTCTTATTCTATAATCTAATGGTTGATATGCAATAAGATTGATCTTGTGTTTAAACATGCTTATAATTATAAATTTTATTTGATCAATTGGATTGATAAGTAAGAATAACACTACTATTAAACAAACCAAACGTTGCTACATGCAACACATAGCAATTGTTTTTTTCTATAGTTAACAAATTAAAGAAATTACATGTTTTTAACCATATATTGACTCATATCTTTTGGTACTAGGTATAAAATAAATATGATAATAAATTTATAATATATATCATTTATCCTTATTTCTTGCATGTAGAATGCTCATAAAGGAGAAATTACGAACTGGACCGGACGCTGGACATTCCCATCGCAGCGCAAGGGCACCACGAACACAGACGTGCGTGGACTCGGATGGTTGTGAGAGCTGGGCAGTTCTACAAGCTTTCCCCCGTGGAAGCTGCAGGACGAGGTGCTGGGATGGAAAGTTTGGGCTCCCAAGGATGACGATGGCGTTCCAAGCTTGCTTGAGAAAGCTGCCAGGGCGGTGTCTAATCTTGGCGATCGTCAGAGAGCGGCTGCTCCAGCCATCCATGCTGGAGCGTTTTCGAGACTTTGTGCGAGTTTGCTTGGGTAAGAGGAAGACGATCAGTACCCGGTGGTGGCAAAGCAGCTCATTGTTTTCTTCACCGGGAACTCGGACGGGTTTTTGGCTGATGCCATCAACTGGAGGAAAGTTTGCGAGGGTGGTTGTCGGTCGTCGCCCAGGAGCGGATGTTTGTGTTTCGAGCCTGGAAACGTGAGCTCGTCACTGGATTCCAGGGATCAAGTGTTCCTTGAGGATCCAACCAAGCCTCATGTCTTTCAAGCGGCTGGGCTTCTCGACTAAACACCTTCAGAGAAGCACACGGCAGCGCAAATGTGCCGGAAAGCAAAGCTCGAGCCAACGAGTCTTTTGGACGATGAGAAAAAGAAGCCAAAGAGTTTTACAGCATACCCGAGAAACAACCAAGCAAAGCCTTCTGAGAAAAAGTATTCTGAGAAAAAGAAGATTCTGAGAAAATGATGATCCTAGAAAGCAGTATCACCAAAATTTAAAAACAGATATTTACTTACCTTACCTTTACCTGACAATTAGGGAGATGGTATTAATTACAGGTTTAGGGGTGATTTAAGCTAAACCGCCTGGTGGCACAAATCTTTTGCCGGCTTCCATCCTCGAGTGTGGCAACGTCTACACCTTCGCTCGCGGCCTAGGCGAAATGGGGCCGAGCCAACACACTGAGACTTGTCCAGAGCGCCATACAAAGCAAGTTGGTTTGTATGGATTCAAAGATTCTTGAGTTTGATGTCGCAAGCAACACGATCACGTACAAGGATCTCAGTCTCCATCTCATGGACAGTATGAGAAAGCTCTACATGGTGTTGTTGAGTGGCATAACGCAGGTGTACACAGGTAGTTAAGGAGATTTGTGCCAAGACAAGATTTGCAGTGGTGAGTGCGCAAGAATTGCATCTCAGCTTTGATGGTCAAATCAATAACCACTTGAACTTTTTTGAATATAGGATTCGAATTTTCATATGATTTAGATGATGTAATTGCCGACATGTTTTGTTAGAGAATAAAACACAGTTAATAGTTCATTAAAAAGAGCAATATTTAAACAGTTCTTCAATGTTCTTTTTTCTCATGTTATTAATTTCTTTGAATTTTTTTGAATATAAGACATGTTTTACTCCTTTGGTGCTAAATCATTTAGAGATTAAAACATAGTTAATGGTATTTAAACAGAATTGGCCATTCTTCAAAGTTCTTTTTTCTCATGTTATTAGTTTTTTGCTTGGTTTTCCATTTTCACAGTCTTCCTGTCACGACAATCCCAAAACCTTCCCACTTTCAATGTCCAAATCAATGTCGTAGAAGCACGGCCTGGTCGGCAAGCCAGGCATGGTGCTCATGGCCCCAACCAGCGGGTATATAAAACCGGCACCCACGCTCGCGCGCACGTCTCGGATGGGCAGCGTGAATCCCTTTGGAACTCCCTTGAGCGATGGATCGTGCGAGAACGAGTACTGCGTCTTCGCCATGCAAATGGGAAGTTGCGAGAAGCCTTGTCGCGTGTAGAGCTCGATCTTTGCTTCTGCCTGTGAGCGACGATCGAGACGAGCAAATGAGAAGAAAATCGAGAAGCAAATGGAGAGCTTACTTCTGACTCGTACTCCACATTGTCGGCACCGTAGAACTTCGCAATCGCCTCGATCTTCTCCTTGATGCTCACCTCCAGCGGGTACAGGAACTTTAGAGGCGCGCTGTGTCGTTCGCAGGCTCTTTGCACAGCATACCCGAGCTCCACCTGGTAGAAAACGAAAAAACCAACCAAGCAAAGCTTAAACCATGGAAACAACTGAAACCAGACTTACAGCTCCCTCGCCACCACTCGCGTAGTGCGTGCACAGAACCGCGTCGAAGGCACCCGCGTCCAAAGCGATCGACTTCACCGCGGCAAGCTCGGCTTCGGTGTCAGTGGCGAACACGTTGATCCCGACCACCACGTTGACACCGTAAGATCTCGTGTTCTCGATGTGCTTCACCAGATTGGAGCACCCCGCTCGAACCAGCTCCAAGTTCTCACTTTTGTAGGCCGCATCAAGAGGCTTGCCAGCAACAACAGCTGGACCTCCACCATGCATCTTGAGAGCTCGGACAGTCGCCACAATGACCGCGCACTGAGGTCTCAGCCCGCTGTATCTACACTTGATATCCATGAACTTCTCACACCCGATATCAGCTCCAAAGCCTGCCTCAGTTATCACAAAGCCTTCCGGACCAACGAGCTTGAGAGCAATCTGGTCGGCGACGATGGATGAGTTCCCGTGAGCAATGTTGGCAAACGGTCCGGCGTGAACGAAGACTGGAGTTCCCTCCAGCGTTTGCATCAGAGTTGGATGGATCGCGTCCTTCATGAGAACTGTCAATGCCCCTCCGACTCCCAGATCGTCAGCCGTGACGGGATCGCCGGCTTTGCTCGATCCGATCACCATCTTTCCCAGTCTGGAACGCATGTCCGCCAGCGAAGTTGTCAATGCGAGGACCGCCATGATCTCACTGGCCACGGAGATGTCGAAGCCAGTCTCTCTGGTCATCCCCTTCTCCTCCGGCCCCTGTCCAACCGTGATCTTCCTGAGAAACCTGTCGTTCACGTCCATCACTCTCTTCCAGGTGATAGTGGCGGGATCAATGTCCAGTCTCGCGAACTTCTTCGTCTCTTCTGCCGTGAGCTGGTTTGGATCCGTCTTCTCGATGCCGAGCTTCTTCAAGCGACTGTACATCACCTTCGCAAAGCTTCTCTTCCCTTCCTTGTCCGCGGGACACAGCCTGTTGAACAGAGCCTTGTCCGACTGGGTGTTCTCGTGGAACATCCGAGCGTCGATGGCGGCCGAAAGTAGATTGTTGGCTGCGGTGATCGCGTGTATGTCGCCAGTGAGATGGAGATTAAACTCCTCCATCGGAATCACTTGACTGTATCCTCCTCCGGCAGCTCCACCTTTGATCCCAAACGTCGGGCCTTGGCTTGGTTGGCGTAGGCATGCCACAACCTGGATAGAACCAAGTATACTCAGCGAGCAACCGTGAACTTTACTACGACTGACTGGAGCTTTGCGAGCTTTAAGAGCCAAGTTCTAGCCAGAGAACTTCGAGAGGATATATCAGTTCGAGCCAGAGAACCTCGAGAAGTTACATCAGTTCTAGCCAGAGAACTTTGACAATCAGAGAGCTTTGACAAAGAAAGAATTTAGAGCAGGATGATATCAAAAACAATAAACAACGCATTCCAGCACGATGGAATCCATGTAAATGCAGAGGAAATTCACGACGAAATATCGCAAACAGTGTTTGCGATAGAAAGTAAGCCAAAGGAGGACTCTAGACGCGAAGATCACCACTCTAGATCCTACAGTAAAGGAGGAACGAGCTCACCTTCTTTCCGAGATGAGCCCCCATGGCTTGCCCGAGCCCAACAGTGGTGGTCGATTTGCCCTCTCCCAGCGGCGTCGGCGTAATCCCGGCCACCACGACGTAGAATCCATCGGGATGGTTCTTGAGGCGATCCCGGACGGGCAAGAGCACCTGGCGAGAGCACAAAGAAAGCAAAAGAAATCACCAAAACCGCGCGCTGGATCGATCGATCGATCGAATGTAGAGCCGTGGCGAGGGAGTGATTGAGAGAGGGAGAGAGGGGCTTGCCTTGGCCTTGGAGGGGCCGTAGAGCTGGAACTCGTGGGGCGACAAACCTAAGTCCTGCGCGATGGAGGCAATGGGCAGCGGATCGACCGACTGCGCAATGTCGATGTCCGCCGGCACCGGGTTCACGATCTCGAGCTTGCGCGGCGAAGACGAGGTCGGTGGCGCCATTCTCGAGCACTCCTCCGCTGGAGAGCTTTGCTGCTGCTCACCATATCCGCCGTCTACTGGAATCCGTCTGAGCATATGCTCGCGCACGGGCGGAATATGCTACCCCCGGCTATCGCTGTCGGTATATGCCCCACCGGCGGCATATTCTGTTAGGCGGAATATTTTGGATTTGCACTGCCAGAATATACCGGTGGATCTAGGGTTCTTCCGGATGGCTATGGTTTCTTGATGCGATGGTGATCAACAGCAGGAGTGGATCGCATCAGGTGCTCCTACGGCAGCTCCAGCAGGGCATTCACACTGTCGATCAAGACGAGGAGGAGGAGGAGGAAGAGGAGGAGAATCCGGAAGAGGAGAATCTAGAGGAAGAGGAAGAAGCGGCAGCGCAGATTTCCACTCCAGCCCCAAATGTAGCCGCGGAAGGAGGAGGAGGAGAGGAGGAGGATGAAGAGGAGGAAGATTTGTTTGGCCAGATCGCTTGCGCGAACCCGGAGCTCCTCCAGCAGTCGCCGATCCAGGTGAGGGGCAGCAGCCAGGGTTTGGGGCGGGACGATTGGGGCGATGGCGCGACGCTGGCGCTGCTCCAGGCGTGGGGGGACAAGTGCGTGGCGCTCAACAAGTGGCACTTGCGGCTGGATCACTGGGCGGAGCTGGCGGCGGCGGTGACGATCCGGAGCCACAGCCCCAAGACCGACGTCCAGTGCAAGAATCGCGTGGACACGCTCAAGAAGAAATTCAAGCAGGAGCGGCAGAAGCAGAGCTCGCTGGGATCGCCCAGCAAGTGGCCGTTCTATCGAATCCTTGACAGGCTTCTCGGGATGGCCAGCAACGCCAAGAACTCCACCGCCACCACCACCACTCCTCGCTCGTCCCTCCCGATCGGGGCGGATGCTGGGAACATCGTCAAGAACTCCGGCAAGGAATCCAAGCCCAGGGCGTCCAAGCGGCAGCACTATCATCCCAGCAGCAGCGAAGAAGAGGAGGAAGAAGAAGGAAATGACGATGATCGTGACGAAGAACTCCAAGATCACGAAGAACAGGAAGATCTACTGTGGGTCTTAAACTTCAAGACGAAGAAGCGGGGAGGTGGCAATGCCGCGAAGAAGAAGAAGAAGAGGAAGATGGGATCGCCATCTTCGTCCTCGTCTTCCTCGTCGCCGCTCGCCGGTGCCATCGCCAAGCTGGGCGAGATCTTCGAGCGCATGGAGGAGTGCAAGCGGCAGCAGCTGGTGGATCTGGAGAAGATCCGGATGCAATTCACCAAAGATCTGGAGCTCCATCGAATGCAGCTGCTCATGCAAGCGCAGATGGAGCTCGCCAAGATCAAGCACAGCGTGGACATCCAGTGAGAAGCTGACACGTGGCGAGAGGATATTCTAGGGAATTTTTGCTGGTATTTAAAAGATTCGTCTTTTTTGTTTTTAGTAGCAGCGCAAAGCAAAGCATAGCAAAGCATAGCAAAGCAAATGTTCTTCGTGGCTTCAACCGGAAGTTTGCTCGCTTCGATCACTGTTCTTGCGGTGTTCGCGGCGATTGTCTCGGCGGGTATCCAGCACAATGTGGGCGACAAGGCCGGATGGAAGCTGCCCTCTCTCGCCAAGATCAACTACACGGACTGGGCCTCGCAATACAGCTTCCAAGTCGAAGACACGCTGCGTAAGTTCTCTATCCAGTGCTTCTCGGAGAAATGCTCGCCAAGTTTGCTGCTAGAATCCCCTGCCCTCTATCCGTAGTTCTCGAAGTCAATCCCACCAAGTCGAAGGCACACTTCTTCTCTTTCTCGCGGAAATGCTCGCAAAGATTCCTGCTAGAATCCACTGGCTTAAGTTCCTCTTCGTTGTCGAAGCACTGGCTTTCAATCCTGTTTGCGACTGCTGCTTTCCCCAATAGCTCCTCTTTCTCTTCTCTCATGGATGGCTGGCTGCTGGCAGACTTCCGCTATGATCAAGGCACCGAGAGCGTGTTGCAAGTGAGCCTCGCAGACTACGTCTCCTGCTCCAATTCCAAACCCCTGGCAACGTATGACGACGGAGATACGGTGGTCTACCTGCTGAGAGACGGCTGGTACTGGTTCATCTCTGGAGTTCCCAGCCACTGCAACTTGGGACAAAAGTTCTCCATTCGCGTCCAGCCTTTGAGCCACGGTTCTTATCAAGACCATGCTCCATCGGCTGCCGAGCCTTCCACTGCCACTGCCCAAGGATTCTCCGGCGGCTCCCGTAGAGAAAACCCTGTCGCGATTCCAGTCTCTGCATTACCATCCTCATCGGCTGGCTTCGCGACTCCAGTATTCCCTGCTCTTGTCTACGTTCTTCCCATAGTCCTTGTCGCGTAGTAGTAAACAGCCTTAGAACTTGTGCGTCCTCCTCCCACGAAATCCAAAGAGCAAAATCCTTCCTTTGTCTGTTCCTTCGTTGCCAAGCCAAGTTGGTGGTCTCTGGTAGTCCAAGTATCCTGCCCCGGTCAAAGTCCAGAGTTCCTTGGTTGTAGTAGCAGAAAGGACCTATGCTTGTTGAAGAGCCCGAGAACTTTTCCACGTTGTATGCGTAGCCAGTACCTATTACAAAATCATTGTCCAAATTGCATGGAGTAATAAAGGAAAAGACATCTCAAACCTGCGCCACTTGCACGACCACGGGCCCGTGCTGCAGAAGAACCTCACCACCACAGTGACGCCATCGATGATCACTTACGTGGAGCTTTCCTTCATAACGACGAGAACGCGTCCTGTTCCGTTCGGTTCCCTGATGCTCCCCGACGAGAGAAAGATTCACACTGTAAACTTTGATCGGAGCTCGTCGAGTTCACTGTCGTATGATAGAATGTCGAAGAGCCGATCAACTACTGCCCTGTTCCTCTGTCCCATCAACTTCATTGTGATGGCGAACCTCGAGCACTTGGAAATCGACTCCAGAATCTTAACCACAGCGGACACACCACCCGGCCCCTGTGTCTCACCCAATGCATCTAGCAAAGTTCCCAAAACCCCGGTAAGGATATCTGGAGGAACCTCCACTCTGAAAATCCTTGGAAAGGGTCCAACGTTTGCCAGGAACTCTAGCCTCTTGTCTGGAGGTTCCGTGGATAGACTTCTCCAGCTTTTTCGAAAGGCATCTTGCGTCATAGGCCCCACGGTTCTGGCGGCAGTGGGTGGTACATCTGCATTACCCGTGCCTCGCACAAAACTTTTCAGCTTTTCCAGAGACTCGAGGACATCGCGCTTCGACAAGATGGGAGCTTCCGTGCCTGCTTGAGATCTAACGTCGTCGGCCTTCAGCAAACTTCCAGAAGAACTGAACGACCAAGCTGGAGCAGTTCTTTTAGTATCCGCTCTGGGTTCCGCCAGCCTCTTTCGATCAACTGGTTGTAAGTGAGCAGCAGAGACCTGCACAAAGAAGACATAAGTATAGAAAAATTTAATGCGTTTTCTTACCATGGCTGCGAACGTAGGATAATCGACATTTTGAGCTGCAGCACGTTTCTTAGCAGCATCCACCTGACGCCGGTATTTGTCATCTTCAATAGAGGTACTCAACGTCTTGCTGTGCTTCAAGCTCTTAACATCATCCCACAAACTTTCTGTCATACCGGAAAAATCCAATACCTAACAAGAAAACTACCTGAAGAACGGTCCCGATCACCCAAACAGATGTTTATTGCATCAAACATCACTCCTCTACATATCGTGCAGTCTTATTTCACGCTATACAAGTCAGCTTAGGTTTTACCAACACCACCCCGTCCGCTAAACAAGAAAAAACGTCAGTACGAAACAAAAAAAGTAATATGCAATACCTGCAAACTTCGTTCCTTCAATTGTTCAAAACTAGTATGCAGCTCCTCTTGCTTGATTTGCATGCTGCGAAGGCTCTGGAAATACATACAATCATAAGCTAATCATCATTTTTAAAAAATCAGTACCTCCTTTGTCTCAGCCAGTTCATCCTCGAGCGCCTTGATCCGTTCAGCTGCTTCAACAGAGATGATTCTCTTCAGCTTCTCGTTTTGCTCAAGTAGCTCCCTCACAAGCCCTTCAAGCTTCTCTACACGGTCCTTGATCCCACTAGAGACCATTTGCTCCACTACAGCAGGTGGTTGCAAATTATGGACGACACGCGAGCTTGAACCAACGCCGCCAGTAAGCATCTCCTGTTTTCTTTTGCAAATTTCTCGAGCAATGATCACAACACTCATGAAAAATGCCAAAATTGCTGCAAGGTAATTCGCAAAAGCACCCGGGTGGAGCTTGGAAATATCTGCATTGCCTGAAGCCAGTATCAGTATTGCCAAAAAGTTGCAAACTTCAAACTTAAACCTCTTGCATGAATGCTGGCGCTGTAGCCGTTCGAGTCCGTTTTCTTCACGTAGACGCTAGCAATGTTGTCAACAGCCTTATCGACCATTGGTACCATCTCATTACCAAGGACCAAGTCCGGGTTGTCCAAAAGTCTAGCACCGCCATAGACCTGTAAGAGCACGTCAGTATCGCGTGAAGAACATTAGCTACCTCACCTCTTCAGACACCGAGTTCAGCCTCACGAAACTTGGTCTCGTTCTGACAGAGAAGTCATCCACGTCCGAGCCAGATTCTGCAGTTGAAACATCCAGCTCTCGGACCTGGATCATAATCAATCAAAATCGGCCTCCAAAACGGAGAAAGATATAGTTATACCTTAATTTCTGTTCCACCGGAATCTATAGTCACAATTTGTCTTGCAAACTTCGCTTTTCCATCCATAACAGCCTGAAGAGAGTAGGATCAGCCTAGTTCAAAAGACAACAACTAACATTGACGGTACCTTCAAAATGGATGGGTCTTTCCACGGTCCTCTATCAGAGCACATGCAGCCACCTTCCACGAGACAATTGCAGGTCCCGCCAAGAAATTCTGGCAGCTCGCTGTTGAAACCAAATCAGTCAAAAAATCTCTAGCATGACATGCAACATATACATACTTTGCATCAATAACCTCGAGGAGTCTGCTTTGAAACTTGTTCCCTAAGACCTGCAAAGAAAGTATAAGAAATTAAGAAACGTATGCGTAACGAAAGAATTAGTTACTGTGATCTTTGAGGTAGTTTTAGGATCCAGAAAGCTTCGGACAGTATTCCACAGCAATCTAAACCCAGATCCGGCGTTCACGATATACATTCTGTGTAGAGTCTGTGTGCAGAAATTGTACAAGATTGAGAAAAAATCAGAAATCGTTTAAGATTCACCTCAGGATAATTGTCGCCGTCAATTTTTTGCATCCTGATTATCAGCTCTCGTGCAGTCTTATTGAAGTTTTTGAGACCCTGCAAAAGAACATGAGCATTATGTCGTAATTATAAGTGATGTAATCTCTTACCACACCAGCCACATCCAGAATCGTAGTGGTAGAATCTATGTGCCGTTTTGCCGCAATCGAACAAGCAGGGAACTTCTTGTTGATGGTCCTCTCGAACTCACATATATGGTACTTCAAATATCTATCGATGGTTGTGACGTTCATGAGCTTATTCGGTTCCACCTTGCCAAGACGCTCGATGTAAACAGGCCTTCCTTCTTTGTCCACGCCGTGATTACCATGGGGGTAATACTTCTTCACCTCTTCTAGTTCCTCGAATGCAAAAGACTGCAAAAAAGGACCTACATTTTACGGAACGAGGGACAAAACTTCAGCATACCTCTTCAATAGTGTCTACGTCGTTGTCTTTCCTCCATTGCAGCATCTCGATCCACATGTTCTTGGCCTTGTCATGATCAAACTTCCGAGCCTTCAAAAATCTAGAGCCAGCAAGAGCGACTGTATGGATAACAGGGAGAGAGAAAAAAAGAAACGAGTATAGCACATACCTCAGCAGCGTATGGTAATCGTCATGCCTGTCTGGAAGGAGATTCTCAGCTAGCAAAACCTGTCTAAAAGCATCCACGGCCTTTTGCTCCTCGGCGTCCCACACGTCCTCGATCAGCGATCTCTTTCTCCGTCTCTTCCTCCGGAACGATGACCTCAGCTTCTTGGACGCAATGATAGCCTTGAAAGACGCGATCTTGTTCTTCCCCTTTCGATCTTCCTCCGAGTCCTTCTCAAAATCGTCTTGATTCGCCGCGTTGGACGAGAGGCAGTCTAGCAATCAACCGCATTTACCCGTGAGATCCACAGCAAGGGATGAACCAAATGATTACCTATATGCACTAGGCTCGATAGCGCTCGGTCGGCTCTCCAAGATCCTCGCTCTGTCTTCCATGCCGATTCTCGCGCCTTGGACGATGATCTAGGAAGCGCCGAGGTGCTCACAGCCGTCTCCATTCCCCCTAGGGTTTTGCGACAGCTCAGATCTACTACTTAGAATGCAAATCCAGCTCCCGCTGCAAGAATCTAAGCTCCCGACACGAGATTTCCATAGATTGCTGCCAGAGCCCCCTAGAATCACCTGACTAGCGCCAAGCCGCTGGCTTATTCGTCTGCTAACAGGAGAGATTTAGGGTTCTTGCCTCCCGCCGCTAAAGGGATTCGAACCTCCGCATTGGCCAGCTAAAATTCGCTGTGAAAGAGCACAAAGCGACGTGACACCATGATTGGAGGATAATTGGAAAGAAAAGTAAAAAACAAGCCTTTACCGCGTGGACGGCTGCTGTAAAGTTCCTCCCATGAAGAGCGTTGTCTCGAGATTCATACCATAGTTTTGTTCTTTTGATAACATAGAAAATCCTTTAAATCATTCACGTGGAAGCCCACCAAAGTTCCAGTTTTTTCTATCACACAGTACGAGATTAACAGTGAGCAAGTTGACTCCCACTTCCGTGTTCTTGGGGATCCCGCTCATCCATTTCGCGAGATTATTTTCTCTTCTTCGTCCATCACTTTCTTCTTCTTCCCGTGGATCGATCGATCCTCTCCGCGCGTAGAAAATTCCAAGAGTGGCCAACAGCAAGCTCCAGCAAAGTTCCAACAATCACGATTATATCGTCAAGCTTCCACAGGGCTAACGTAGACCCTGTCCCCCAAACACACAGCACGGAACTCCCACTCTTTGTAGGCTAGCTAGAAGTAGAAGACTTAAAACACTAGACAAACAATCCAAGCTCTCTCTACTCATGCGTGATCTCTCACTTGGTCTCTAATCATCACGAAGAAACTTTTAGAGAGTACTTTGATGCTTCTCTTCGATCCGGAGAGCAAAGTCGCGTACTCTCTTTTTTTTTTCTTGGTTTGATCACTCGCTGGCTATGATTTGAAAGAACTATATAGTACATGCTTTGTGTTTGCTTTGCTATAGAGCTTACAAGAGCATCAAACTCGGCTCGTTTTGCCTCGTATCTTTCTCTTCTTCTTCTTCTTCCTTGTATTGTGTGTGTGTGTGGTTTTTTTTCCTCTTTTTGTTTGCTTCGATTCTTCGAAAGTGAAAGAAAAGAGAGGAGGATTTCCACTCCTTTGAGCAGAGACCCTGCTTTCGCGCTTTCGTTTGTATCGAGATGTTGCTGGGAAAAATGGTGTGCTCGGTTTTGGTGTCCATCGATATCCCATCTTGGAAAGTGTTAGCTGTTCTTGGGAAGCGTCTGGCCGGAGAGAAAAGTTTGGAAGAGTAGCAACGCTCGCGCGGGTTGAGCGTAAGGAACCATATGCGCTGCTCCTCGTATCGTCGCGTACGTGAGATTTCCATAAACTTGCGTCCATCCGGCAACCTGGATTTGAAGAGGTTTTAGCCAATGATTTTGTCTAAACTATCTACATAGCCAGTGAACTTTTCACATCTTGAGCTCGTACTAAGCCTAGAGCTAAGATAAAAAAGAGAAACAAAGTACCTGGCCTCCCAAGTACCAGGCAGTGTATGGGACTGTAGCTGGAAGATTGAGACTTTTGCCAAGCCCATTGATTATTGTCCGGGTTCCAGTCAATGGCACGACAGAGTCCTGATCGCCACTGCAAGAATCGCAAGCGAGTGACTGAGCAGCTGAGAAAGGAAATAAAAAAAAAGTAGAAAACATGGTGGACTTTCACGAGATGAAACGAAGAACACGAAGAACACACGCGAACGAAGAAAGAAGTTCAAGAAAAATGGAAAGAAAGCTTTCTTACCTGAAAACCCAGACACGAAGGCCGGTTTTGACGATGCTTTGGAGCAAGGGAACAATGTCGATGCTACCATCCTGGAGATAGTATTGGACGGGCCTGAAAGGTTTCGAGAAAAGTTTTGATAAGTTAGTGATCGAGCAAGAGAACTTTCGAGAGAAAACTCGAGAGAACTTAAGGAACAGCGTAGTTACCCGTCACACATTGTCCATTTGTAGTTGAGTCCTGTAACGTTGGCATGAAGAGCTTGCTGTACTCTGTAGTCATTGAGATAGAGGTCTCTTTCGTCATCAATGCAAACATCAACTCCATAGCTCTTCTGAGTGATCTGCTTGGCAGAACAAAAAATAAAACAACAAAAAACACGGCGAGCAATTAAATGAGTAAGATCACAGATGCCAGAGATGCGGATCACCGGGAGATCACGGCAAGCGAGCAATCAATCAAACGCGCAAAGAAGAAAAAAAAGAAAAACACGAAAAAGAACAGCATCAAGCTCCAGGAATTCTCTAGCTTACTACTCACGTGTTGCTTCAGCCTGAGCTCCTGGAGGAACAGCGACGGCAGGCACACGTCGAGGATCACGTCGTAGTTATTGATGAAATCGCCCACCTCGTCGTCGGACTTGCCCATGATCACGTCGCACTGGTTGGAAACGTTGTGCTGCTTCTCGGCCCCGAGCTCGTAGTCCTCGAAGTTGCAAGCTCCCTTGACGGCGGCGAAAGTATCATCGGAGATCAACCCGTGCGACCAAAAGTACTCGTACATGGCAGCGGTGTCTATCCCGAGATTGAGCAAGGGATTTCCGATCTACACCACCACAAAGTTTGCAAAGAAGATCCATCAAGAAAAGTGGAAACCAAGAACACCACTTACTGCAATGCCTTTCAACCGGAGTTCTTCCTGGCGATTGCGCTCATTGTGTCCAAGAATGACGGAAGCCAATTGTGGGACATAGTGTCCTGGACGAGGAGAAAAACCAAAAAAAAAAAAAACACGAAGGAGATGGTTAATACGGAATTTGGAGCCAAATACGAAAAAAGTATGATCAGACCTGCGTAGCTCTCGCCAGTGATGTAGAGGTCGGAACTTCTAAACTCTGGAAACTTTCTGAACCATCCCAGCAAGAACAGGAGCGTATCTTGAGCTGTAAAGCCACGCATTCCCAGAAAGCAAAGCTCAGTGACACTGGAAACGATGAAAAACCACTGCACGCTCTCGTCGTTCCGACCAAAACAAGCCAAGGAAAAAGAAAAGAGACCAAGAACAGGAGATAAAGAGGAAGAAAACAAAGATGGAGAAGGAGGCCAGAGACGAAAAGCATTTGTCCGGAGAAGAGAGGAAGGAAAAGATCATTGAATCATACCAGTTTTCTCATCGGTAACGTTGTCATAGTCGGAGCTGGTGTTGGAATACGACCATCCAACTCCAGCGGGCGAATCCAAGAACAAGAGATTGGAAACTAGAAAAGGAAGAAACCCACGTTTTAGAGATCTTCTCGATCGGGGAGAAAGCAAAAGCGAGATCATGGAAGAATTTAATCGGACCTTTGTTCCATGACTGTGGATTTCTCAGCAGTCCAGTGCCGGAAGCATTTGGATAGAATGGTCCCAGCTCCGTAAACGCACCGCATCCAATCGACGAGCATCCGGGACCTTTTTTTTTTGGTGCCAGACAAGAACTCTGTGTGAGTGACACTACTGGAAAAAAGCACGCACTAGGAGATCACAGTACCTCCATTGAGCCAAAGCGTGAGAGGCTTGGACTGTGGAGCACCGCCTTCCACCTCCACGAAATAGTAGAACAATGCTCGCCCCGCGGATGGATCCACCGTCACGTAGCCCGCGTACTGCCGGAATCGGACGCGCGGCTGGCCGGGGAGATTCGTGACGAGATCGCTGAGCGGGGCAGCCGCGGCAATGCAGCAGTGGAAGAGGAGAATGGCGAGAATCGCAGGTAGCGAGCAGCCCATGGCCAAGGATTAGACGCGGAAACACTGGAGGATCGAGGTGGGACGAAGCCGTGAGTCTGGATTGGAATGGTGGGTCAATTCTCTCGAATCTGGGCGATGGCGAGAGGAGCGCGCGGGGAGAGAGCGGCGAAGAGGGTGCCCGGAACGCGCGCGCGATCTCGCAATTGGCGAGCGGTTCGCGAGCAATTTGTGTCGGAAGCTAGAAATGGGGCTTTGGCGCTTTCAAGGGATCCAAGACCAAAACGACAATGAGGAAGAACAAGCGTGGGCGAGAGAAGGCGATAAGAAGAATCGAAGAAGACGAAGATAGTCAAAATCGCGGAGAAGAGAAGAAGATCAAGCAAGAGAATGAGAATTTCTTTGTCAAAGTGGAATGGAAGACCAAATGATTCGTCCCATGTCTAGAAATACCAGCAGCGTAGCGCAAGAGAGAGGGAAAGAATTCAACTCAAGGTTAAAAAAAAATGCTTGGAATATCAATCGAACGCTTCCAAGCAATCCCACGATTCACGGAGTGGGATCGAAAACTACCTTTCCAGTTTACTATACTATCAGCGCTGCGAGAGAGAGAGGGAGGGGTAAAAAGAAGATTGTTGTGGGGCGTTCAAGGATTGACTTGCTCTGTTTTATTGGACCTGGGCCGAGTAAATACGCTTGTTTTCTCTTACCCCGCTCTGTTTTTACGTGCTCGGCTGACCATGGCGGTGTCAACAGATAGAATGGTGACCTGGTGCGGTAAAAAATTAAATAAAAATTCGCCAACCAAGGACATTAAATGCAATGCGCAGTTGGCCGATTATCGCGCTAATCAGGTGGTCACACCTAATCACCTTTAACCAGCGCTTTACCCTAATATCATAAAGCCCTAGATAAAAGTCCGTCCAATTGGGAAGTAGATATCGATGATGAGACATATCATGTGGAGGTACTCTTTGCTCCTGAGAGAGTGCGCCAAATAAAAACCTTGGAGCTCGAAAAAAGAGAGCGAATTAATGCTTAAAAAACAAGAACAAACAAATCAAAAGAGAGTTCTAGTCTATGTAGACGACGAACGAATGGAACCCTATACCTTACCTCCTCCTGCATGGGCGTTGTGGCCTAGATTACGTGCAGCGCATTGCCTGCCACCCTCTGGAACCCTATTTTGTTTTTCTTAAATATCAGAACGCTGCAAAACCTACTGGTTGATTCTGGGACAACGACCACCCTCTCAAATTCAAACAAAAAGACCCAAACGTTGTTGCGTTGCTACTTAAATCTCCGCACAAATCAATCCCAATCGCCATCTCTCTGATCGCTCCCCACTGTCTCTCCCTGCTCGCTGGAAATCACTGCGCACAAGCAAACAAAAGACACCCAGCCAGGAAAAATGCTAGGGTTCCAGCCCGGTCAAACCGAACGTTGAAGGGATTGACTTGACCGTCAAAGTGCATGCATTCGTCCTTGCTACTTGTTACCTGGAGCATTGAATTGGACGAAAAGAAATCGATCGTCGATTGGATTTGGATTCACAGCTCCAGTCAAGAATCGATCAGTTAGAGCGAATATCTCGCGTCGCGTTTGTTTGTTGTCAGTGGGGCCATCCAAGCCAAGATCATGGCATATTCTCCAGAAGTTTAGATTATTCTCCCTGGGCTGGGCAGAGACACGTAAGCTTCTGACACGCGAGGGTAAAGTAAAGGCGATAATACTGGTGTAGGTAAGTTGTGTGTGAATGAAATTAACCTGGAGTGCATTTAAAATGGGTGGCCATGCGAGTCTGTGACAGTGGTGTAAAGAAAAAAATGAAAAGATGGACGGACGCGGATTAATACCGCTGTCCCTGGGATTTGGAATCGACGGCTCGTATTGAATTTGGCCACTAGCGGGCATTGAATTCAACTGGAAGAACTTTTTTGACCGGAGAAAAAGCTCGCTCGCATCGAAAAGACAAAGAGTAAGATCAAAATTCCTGTGGAAAGGAAGAGAATTCCAGATTTCTTCTCGAGATGCTGGAGCTAGAGCCTGACGATGGTGGCTCAATGGTGGCACTGCCCGTGAAAGATGCATTTTGGGCATTGTTATGTTACAGGTTACATTGATGGAGCGATTGTGATTTGGAAAGCCGCAAAGGAATGATCCGGGCCTGGTCATTGCGATCAAAGTTTAGTGAGAGACTAGATCGGGCATCCGTTCGTAATTCCTCCTCGGAAACTTCCAAAACGACGTGCTGTTGGCTGTTGTACTTAAAACTCTGCATGGATAGAAGATGCTCTCGCTAGAAAAATCTCGACCTTGGACCAACCAGAAAAGGAGAAAAAGTAGAGAAGACTCGCAGAGGGACAGAAGAAAAGAAACCAACAAAGGAAAAGATTTGAAGGGATGGAAAAGCTGCGTGAAAACAGTCAAAAGCAATCGGCTTTGTATCAACCTGGAAACTAGACAATGGAAACGAGACAAGGAAAAGAGAGAATCTCTTTCTCTAGAAGGAAGGTCATGGAAGTCCAAACTTGGACTAAATCCTGAGTACAAACTCAGTTGCTTGACAGCTCCCAAAGTGCGACGAACG